ATATTAATTATAAAGTTTATTAATTAAAATTAATTGATTATTTGATTAATTATCATAAATTATCTAATTATTATATATTAAATATACTTATAATAAAGAATAATAATGATACAAATTGGCAAAATGTGTGATCTTGTTGCCTCGATCCTTGAGTCGCGACAACCGCCGACACGTCGCCGATGACTCCTCTCCGCCGATCTCAGGTATAAAAATTTCTAACTTAAATCCCATCCTCGACACGCTTGACGGCGCCGATGGCACCCCCTATAGAGCGCTCTATTGTAGCACGTGTGGCGGGGGAATCCGGTTGCAACAGGTTGCGACGAGGCGGGTAAGCCCTATACACGCCTCTTGTAGCATGTGGCGACGTTCTCGACCTCGGACGATCAGACACAGCCAGCACCAAGTTAATATCTTCTTTAACATCATGTTTCCCGTTACGATGTTGGGCGGATCGGGGAACCCACTTATACGCGCTTGTCGTACACGGTGGAAGGAAATCCGGTGGACGCCTACGACAAGGCTGGTAATCGCCTAAATCACCCATTTTCGGTGTTGCTGAGGACCGGGGAAACGCATCTTATACGCGCTCTCGTAGCACGGTAGGGCGAAGCCCGTGCGACGCATACGACGAAAGTGGGTAAGGCCCTATACACGCTCTTGTAGGCACTACGGAACACGCACAATTACCGTCGGATTTTCCGGTCGAAATTTGCTGGCCGGTAATAAACGGCGCAGGCACCCCGGTAATTGTTCGACGAAAATTTTTGCTCAACATTTACGCCGTAAATTTACCGGGACCGCCGTTTCTGCCGGCCATCGACGGTATAGGATGTACTGAAACCATTTCCAATCGCACGTTACGGGATACAATCCGGCGTACGTTACCGGCGGACATTGCGTCGGCGTATTTAAAACTCACGAAATATATACGCGGATTAGACTCGGAATCTGACAATTATAACCGATCGTCTACAGCACGAACCGGTAGGAAACTTCCGCGGTAAAAAGCCCTATTTTCCCGATGAACCCCTCTGGCCGTCATTCGTTTCCTTCCATTCTCTCACATCGACTGCTTCGCCCGTTCGCCTCCGTCGCCGTTCGGTACGCTAGCCGTGGTTAGACGTCGCCGCGCGTCCACCGGACTTCGGCCGAGCCTCATTCCTAGTCGCGCGCCGCTCTCTCCTTCCTAGTGTCGCGCTGCGAGGAGGGTACCGAAGTATTGTTTTCATTTTTTTTCCTATTGTCGAGTATGGATACATATATAGGAATTAGCCTTAATCCGATATCTTTTGCATAAATCAGGTTGTTATCACTAGACATTTGGCTAGAGGATGTACTTTGGTGGCATGCTTTTTGTTGATGAATATTGTTCTTGTATGATAAGACTTAGAGATGGGATTTGAGGTAAACTTTTGATTATGGAGATCAACATTACTCCATATCTTTTTGGCTTATCATGGTGTATGCATAGAACATTTGCTAGAGGATGACTTGGTGATGTTTTTGTTGATTGATATTGTTCTTGTTGATAAGACTAGAGAGGGAGTTGAAGTAACTTGGTTATGGAGCAATAACATTAGTCTATTTTTTTTGTGCTTTAAGTTCATGGTTTTAGGCACTAACAATTTGCTTAGAGATGTACATTGGTGGCATGGTTTTTGTTGATGATCATTTCTTGTGATAAGACTAGGAGGAGTGAAGTAAAATTTGATTATGGAGATCAAAATTAGTCTATCTTTTGTGCTTTTACGTCATGGTTGTTAGCACTAGAACATTTGCTAGAGGATGTTACCTTGGTGTATGCTTTTTGTTGATCGTATATTGTTCTTGTGATAAGATTCTCTTGAAACTGTGGTGAAATTGTTGATATGTTGTAATGTTACAATTGAAATGTTGTAGAATTGATATTTGTATAGGTTTGCAGGTGTGGAAATTTGATTGTTGGATGGGAAGAAATTTTTTTTTTGTCAATACTACAGGTTTCCTGCGGATTTTGCGCCGGAAGTTCGCCGGAAAAGACGATACAACGAATCGTATCGTATGTACCGTCGTATTT